CCGGTTGGTTCGATTTGCATAGGTGCATATGAGAATATCCGAATACTCCTGAAACCCGCAAGGGGATTCTGTGTTTTTTCTATTTCAAGGTTAGCTCGCATGCGGGTTAATGTTATATTTGAGCGCGAGAAGAAAAAATTGGTAATTAGGCTCTTTGGGCATTATAAGTAAATATTTAAATTAATGGCAGTTTTATTACACCAATATTATTGTATTATCATTATTATGATTATTGTATTATTTCTTATGCAAATATAACATTTAATTATCCAAGCAGTTTGATTTTATTTTTACAATTTATAAAATTTTTATCACTTATATAATATTTTTAAAACCCTAATACATCTAAATTTGAATCTAATTTTCTACAAGTCATACTTATAAATGCGAAATCTAACAAAAAAAGTTAAATACAATTTTTGCAGGTCAAATTTAACAAATGCGAGCTATTTGCAAAATTTTAAATATTTGCAACATTTTTTAAAACAAAAATTAGAAGCTTTCTGCAAATAATTCCCTACCTCTCAAAAAATACCAAAATAAAAAAGATAAGAGCTCGCATTTGCTTCCTAGAAATAATTCCCTAGCTCTTAAAAAAGGAAAAAAAAAATTGAGAAGAGCTCGCATTCGTGGAATGCGAGCTCAATAACCAGAGCTCGCATTCCACGAATTCGAGCTCTTGTAAGCTCGCATTTGTGAAATTCACAAATGCGAAGACCCCCCTGACGGAAATTAAACCCAAAATCACCCCTTTTGTAGAATTTTTTTAAAATTCATCACAAAGTTGGAAATTTCTCAATAGAAATACAACTTGTCTGGATTCCTTTCACTCTCTGATATCATTACGGTTGCTTTGCGATTACAGCGGCAAAACCTGTTTTTAATGGAGAAAGATGTAGGTGAATTCCATGATTCTCCCCTATGGCTTGAAGAGGCCATGGTTGCAGCTAAAACTTTTTACTCAGAGCTCTAATTGTAGCACAGCAAATGCACTTGTTATCACTCCAAATTAGTAGCAAAGAATGTTAATAGCTTGAAACCTCAGAGGTAGTTAAGTTGCTTTGCTTTATATGCTATTGCTACTGAAACAGCAAACCTTCTGGCCGTTGCAATTTGCAGCTAGCCGTTGCAAAATCTGCCAAATAACTGTTGCATGGCACATCTGGTGCATGCAATTTTTTGTATTGCACTTACCCCCCCTCAACTTTACTAATTAGTCCAAATCATTTATTCTTCTTTGAATCTTCTACTAATACAACTTCTGCAAAGGGTAGCTATGGAATAAAAATACCTTCTCACACATGAAAATAATATTTTAATCTGATTTGGACTGGATTGTTACCACAAAATCAAAAGCAAGGGAGGTAAGTGAAATTTTGAGAACCTCAGGGGATGTCAGTGAAAGTGTCAGAAACCTCAGGGGAGGTTTCTGAAATTATCCCAATTAAATATAAGATTGGCACAAGGGTTATTTATGCAAATAGCTCACATTTGTAAACAAAATTAAATAAGTATAAAAATTTTTAGCCTATCTTATAAAATATAAACAGAAATTCATTTATAAAAAGCTAAATACTATGCGTCTTGTTAAACTATATGTCTTGTTTGGTAGTCAAGTTTATCTGCTACGAGTTTTTTAAAACCTTTAGTTACACTAACTTAAAAAAATTTCTCAAAAATTGTAAACTATACACTTTAAAATATTCAAAAAAAATACACATCAAAAATTTTTTTTAAAAACTTTTACAGTAAAATTTTAGACAAACACCAAAAAAATTCACTTGTCAAACGGGATATATGTTACGCAAACTCGGATACATGAGTTCAATAGACACGGACACTATACTACAAAATCAAGAATCAGAGACACACACGATAGGGCAAAGTGATTGTTGCATTGCCATAGGTAATGCCAGTTTAATGTTCCTCTTGGTAATAAGCCTGGGGATGTTTGTTTTTGTCAAGAAAAGATGCACTAAAAACTAGTTAACATGGTCTCCAAGTTATAGAAGTTGATTGAACACGAAAGTAAGCCAAGAAATAAGACTTTATGCAATTTGGTCCAATGGAGGAATGCCATGACTGGCAGTTTATGAGTTAAGTGAAATCCAAGAGACCGGTTTAAGGGTCCCTTTCCTTGATATGGACTTCAATCAAATATTATCGAAATTTCTTGGATATATATCTTGAAGTGGTTAAATGGATATCTGAATTTTAGGTCCATTAATAAAAGTATCAATATTTATTTGAAGTTGCAATATTTAATATTATCCCCCCTGCCTCCTAGTTTTAAGTTTATTAATAAAACATAGGGTTGGCATCCTTTTTCCTCCATGGGGTTTGCCACAAAAAATAAATCACTATTTGGTTTTGAAATTACTTTCATTGTGGTTAATCACATTTCAACTTGAATCACATTTCATTGTGTTCTTAATTAACTAATATGAATCACATTTCAACTTGAATAAAATGGTTAAATGACACCCCGATTAGAGAAATAGAAAGGGAAAAAAATAGACATAACCATGAAGACACAAACTCACTCATTTGTGTCGTATATCAAATCGTAATAATGTGTATATCGTTAATATATATAAGATTTACTATATATATATATAACAACTGTATGTATCAATTGTATTAAAGGCTAATTGTACATGTTCCAAACCTAACAGGAAAGAAAATGGCAAGATTGAATTAAAAGTAAATAAATAAAGGGTACCCTCCACCTCGCTCTTTCTTTTTTTTTTTGTCAGTAATGATACATTTGTATAACCTATTCTATCTTAATCTAGGAGGGAGGGGGAGTCTAAGGAGGTTGTAATAGGGGGCTAGTGGGTATAACCTACTCCATCTCGCTCTTTCTTGCCTTCTTGACTTTTGTTACACGCTATTACCTACTCAATGGATGCACCGAGTCCAAGCCAATACATAGAAAGCCCTGGATGGGAGTTTGTTTATCTATCAAATCAGCGTTATCTTTGCAAGTCTTTAACCTATGCCCTTAATTAACTTTGGTCGAAGGCTAAGACTTTATAATAGCAATTACACTTGCCGTAAATGCGAAGGGCACTTTTCTCCTACTTTATACTTTATATGTGGTAAACTTTTGGGGTAAACATTGAATTTGCATACTCTTTCCGTTCTCGTCACCAACTTTTCCTTGGACTAGGAAGCATAAACGCGCTTCGTGCGATGGAAATGTAAGATGCCCTGCCCAATTTTAAAATTATAAAAATAGTAATTTGTGCAGAAGGATGTTGATTATTAGTAAACTTTGCAAGGGATGAATTCTTAAACATGTAGTTTATGGAGGTAAGCCTCTTCAGTAATTAGTAAAACCCTTTAATTCATAATTAAGTGTTTACTAAATTGTAGTGGAGTAGTATGTCCGCATACTAAATTGGGCAACCTGGTGAAACTGCTAATATGATGGATTTGAAATCTCTTGTGACTCGGGTGTCGAAATCGAAACAGATATATACTTGACATAAAAGTGTTGTGGCACGGAACAAAAGTTGTTAGCAATGGTGGAAATATCATAGAAGTATTATGAACTTAACTTTTTTTTTTTCTTTTTTAGTGCAAGCGGGAGGATTGGAACTCAAGACCTCTTGCTTACACTCCCTCCCCCTATACCACCCAACCCAATCCTCCCCTATGAACTTAACTTCAACAGCAATCAATGAAACAGTGAATTTGAGAACTTAAAAGATGAACTCAACTTTCATTATTGAAGGTTTAACAAGTTATAAGAGCAAAAAGTACAGATTCAGGTAAGAAGGGGAATGAAAATTGCAGGAAGCTTGGGGAAGGGGAAATGAGATTGGCAACCCAAATCTCTTACAAATCAAATGTCGGATAATGACAAAAAGTTGTTGATTACAAAAGATACCTTTGCTTATCTACCTTGTATATAAGAAAAGAGAAAGGTTTAGTGCTTTCCTTTCCTTTTGCCACGTGGCTTTTTAATTGTTTGACAAGTGTCCCAAGCCTTTTCTTTCATTTGCCACTAAACCGTTTCTCTCAAGTTGCCGTTGAAGCTTTTTCTTGCTTTCTCTCTACCGAATGGCTATTCTTTCTTTTGCCATGTGGCTCTTAATTATTTGACAAGTGTCCGAATCCTTTTCTTTCTTTTGCCATTGAACCATTTCTCTCAAGTTGCCGTTGAAGCTTTTTCTTCCTCTCTCTACTGAATGGCTATTCTGAGCAAAATCCAAGTTCAAGCACCTATTGTACCAAACCCAATTCCAATTCCTTTCTCAACAAATCCAATTGAACTGTTTCTTTCTCAAGTTGTCGCTGAAGCTTTTTCTTCCTTTCTCTCTACCGAATAGCTATTCTGAGCAAAAATCCAATTCCAAGCACCTGTTCTACCAAACCCAATTCCAATTCCTTTCTGACCAAATCCAATTCCAAGTGCCTATTATACCAAACCCAGTTCGAAACGTTTACTTTGACCAAAAAGTTTGGATTTTTACATGATTTGGGAGATGGGTTTTTGATGAAGATTTGTGACCAGTAGGTCAACTGCTACTCCTGCAGACACTTCATTTCATGTTGCAGGGATTGCTGGTCACTCACATGGTGTTTGTACTTCAAAGGAAGAAAATTGCGAGCAGGTGAACTACTCTTGCTTACGCTTGCCGTTTTCCTCTTCCTCTAATATCAAATTAACTATTTCTATATTGATTTCATGTTACAAGAATTGCTGGGCACTCACGTGATAATTGTACTTCAAAGGAGGTAAATTCGAAACTTTTTGTTAGATTAGGTATGGCATTCTATTCTCATCAGCTTTGCCATTCAATTTTCTGCTCAAATCATGCTTTCTATTCAATTCTTATCAGCCGTACGATAATGATAAGAAATATCTTTTTAGATATGATTTTTCCCTTACAGTTATGATGAGAAATAGGTTTCCTATTCATTTAGGTTGTAGTTTTTCCAATGAATTATAAAATCAAAAAAGTGTAATAGAGGTATTTATCAGTGCATTCTGCTGGCTCCTCTGCCTAATGAACTGCAAGGAGAAGCATCCTGGTCTTTACACCTTCTTCTTTGGAGTCTCTTTGGTGAGAAAAAAATCTTTCCCTTTTTTTGTCAAAATTTCCACATATGAATAATAGACAGATTAACAAATTCTAATATACACATATGCTTCAATTGATAGGTTCCTTTTACTGTGGTTCATATCATCAGTCAAGGAATCCTTAAACTTGAAGGTCAGTTTGTTGTCTTTCTTGAATCTATGAGCAGCTTTTCTTTGTTTCCGTGACTAGATTTTCATAAGTAAAATTTCACCTTTCCCTTTTCTTTTTAGTAGTTTTTCTTTAGTTTCTGCTTCATCTATTTTAAGTTTACTGGTGCTATTTGTTTTGTGTGATCCTTTGTGAAACAAATGGTTGTTTATTTGAGTAGCTGATTGTGTTAATATTGACAGTCATACTGTTTTTGCAAATAAAGCACAACAAATAAAGGAAAAAATTGGTAAAACCTTAAAGCTTGATGTAAACATTCTTGATCATCCACTCCAAACTCCAGTGGTTGATGACATTTTTAAGAGTCCAGTAATCCCGTCCAAATGTTGCTCACCCATACATTTGGAATTTTGCTGCTGCAGCCCTTTGGTAATCTTCTTTTATGTCTTATTGCAACCCATTCAGCTATCCATTCACCTAAAAAAACAAGTCAAAAGTAAAGATACCAATTCAGCTCCCAATATATTATGAGTGGTATACCTACAAAAAGGAGAGATCCATTTGCTGATGTGATTCTGGCCAACTGGTTTGTATATAATCAATGTACTATCAAACAGTCAAATTGCTATATACACTAGAAAAAAAATTGTAGTAATGGACATCAATAACAGATTTTGTGAGCCAAAGTCATTAGCACAATATATTTTGTGAGGCAAACTTTTGCTTGTGCTGATTTTGGGGCTGTGGCTGCTATGCTCAAGTTATTATTACATGACAAGTTCCTTTTTAACTAATTTCAACCTCTTGCTACTGGTGCTTTTCTCTTTAATCACAATGGATAATTTGGTAACACATAAAAATAAGAAGTTATACAGAACCTAAGATAGTTTTTCTTAGAATGAATGATAGTTATAATATCTCAGATGAGATATGTGACCTGTTGTTGTTCTAAATGAGGAATAGGAATGATTAACTATTTTTCAGAGAATTTTAAGGTCAATGCAGAAAGGCTGTTATTGGCAAAACTTGTTTAGTCATCTAACTGACTATTGATTAAGCAACTTAGTGTGTGCCTTGTTTGTTGTTTCGTTTTAGTCTAGACTTGTCTAAGGCATGAAAAGCTTTTAGAGAAAACACCATCTTTCTCTAACCTTTATTGTACCTTCACAATTTTAAACCATTGATCAACCTAGACATCATTGATAGATTTGATGCTTCCTTTAAGCCTTTTTCACAAGTAATCATGATCATTTATTTGGTTTAAGAAGTATAAGAAAAAAAACAATTGGTGTTTTGCTCTTGTTGCTTCACTTTCCCCACATGGTATGGCTTATTTTTTTGCTATTTTTTTTCATCTTTCACCTGGTAAAAAACAATAAATTACCCTTTCTCTCTTGCTTATTTATAATGATTTATTAATATTTTTTTAAAATTTTGAACTTTTCCCTCTTTATCTGCATTGAATTTTGTTTTTTTTTTTGTTTTAATTGCAAAACCAAAATTTTCTTTTAAATTGAAGTTGCCTCTGTTGTAGGCTATTTGTGCGTTGTACTTGCAAGTCTGTATACGTTGCTACGTGGTTTGTCTAAAAAACTCAAGATCAAATTTAAACTTTATGCTTTTGATTTGCACCTTTTTTTATGTATTTAGAGTTTTGAAACTGTTATGTTACTGATTAAATTAGAGGCCGCATGTGTTTCTGTTGGAAAGTTTTAGCTTTTATTAACATTAATAACCATTAAGAAACATAAAATATGGTCTTCTCCCTAAAATCTGATAGTAAGTTTTGTTTATTGTATGTGCTTGAGTTCTTGGTTATTATCTTGGTATCTATACATGATATGTTGGGCTCAGGTTAAAACTGACTGTGTATGCACTTTTAGTTGCTATTGTGTTAGTTAATCATTAGTCAGACCTCTGTGCTATGCTGTGGAATGCGAAAAAGAAAGACAAGCCAACACTCAAATTCAATAGATGGTCTGTTTGATGAAGTTAGTAGTGGTCAAATGTTATTAAAATAGACAAAGAGCTCATATATATATATATATATATATATATATATATATATCGGCATACTGTATAGACCTACTCATATATATCAGCAGAGGAGCTAAGTAATAATTTTTAACTCCTCAAGAATTTTTTTAAGGCCAGAAGGACGGCAAGTATAATATTGTCAAGGCATACACTACTAAGGAATCAGCTTACATTCCAATAGCGATCACGGCTGTAGAAACGAATGAAAAAATTCCAGACCTTCATGTTACTGCGCTGCAGTCTGCTAACAAAAATGAATTTTTCAGTCTATCAATCAAAAAACTGCTTGATACCATCGCTGAAACTTCTGCTACTGCAAACAAAGTGCCACCTCCAGTGACCACAGCAAAGAGAGCCTTGGTTTTTGGAATTGTACCTCCTGAAATTGGATCAAATTCAGCTGAAGCTATTACACCTGCCTCACTGCCCACCAATGCACTCTCAGCTTTCGCTCCAACTAATCTTGCACCTGGAAGTCCCTTGAAGAAGCAGCATGATAATGAACTCTGAACTTGCTTGAAGCCTTTTGAATTGCTAATCTTGCTAATCTTGAAGCACTTTACAGCTGAATTGCTAATGTTACATCTTTTGACACAATATTGACATCCATTAAGAAATTGTTCTTTTGTGTAACTTAATGGATCTCAATATTTGATATTTTGTAATTGCAGCTTATCATACTTTATATTAAGTATTTAGCATGTCTTTTCCCGTTTCTGTAAGACAAACTTGCACTTGAAGATATCAAGCTATTTGTAAAACTACTTGCCAATCTTTTGTCATCTTGTCTTATCTTTTGTAATGTTGATGGTTTTCTGATTTTGTTTAGTCTTATATTATTAGCCACATGTTTGATCAGTAATTTATGATTTTAAGAATGATATTTCACAAACATTACAAACATTACTATTAATCTTATCTTATTAAAAAAAAATATGACAATAGATTATAGGGCTGAAAACCTCCTAGTATCACTTCCTATCCCAACAAACTCTTAAACGGATCAACCGGCTCCTAACACGTGTCCATCTAGACTCAATAGTTGCAGTGGTCTTCAGCTCAGGTAGAATCAGTGGAAACCTAGCAAAGGCGTGGTTCTATGTGCGCACCTTGTCAATAGCCTGCCTAGTATATTTCACGCCTTCAGCTGCTGGAATCACGTCTTCTCCGACTTCCTACTTATTGCTCATTTTTAGCTACAGTCCAACTCTTTACTCCATCACAAAAAGTTGTACTATCCTTGTATGTTTGTAAGGTACATAAAATTAAAGCATTAGCCGTAGTCATATTTTTTATCTTTAAAATTCATGCTAGCTTTTCAGAAAACACTTTACTACGCTTATCCAAGAATCAGGTAATACTTATATAAAAATTTCAAATTGTCAAATACAGAGCAAGAACATTCTAATATTTATATACTTTTACTAAGAAATTAATAGTCAGCATTTGTCTAGTTCTTCCAATTTTACAGATTAATAAATTTCAAGTATTCCTAATACTTTAGCATGAATTCATTGAAATAAAATGGCTCAAGCACGTACCTATAGGTGTGTGCCATTCTGATTCTACATTTGATCACACTTCTTATACTTTCTAGTGACTTAAGTAGGATTGTCAATGGATCGGCCTAGTCTGAGCCAAGCCTATTCGACTCGAAAAAAGTCTAATGAGCTTAATCTTTAGTTGAATTAGGTAGAGTTTGGATCTAAACATTAAGCCCAAATTAAAAATGAACTGAACTTGGGTCATATTAGACTTAGACGCGATTAAGGCATAGCCCGTATACAAGTATAATTATACATATATAATATATACAATAATATATAATCTTTACAATTATACATAGAATGTTAATAACATAAAATGTTAATAACATAAAATGTTAATAATTTACATATAAATTTATTGTAATTCATGATTATCAAATATATATTGTATATAATTATATGTTCAATTATGAGTTTGGGTCGAACCCGATTTGAGCTGAAACTCGTATAAAAAGGTGAGTTGAACTCGAACCTTTTAATTTGAACTCGAAATCTGAAAGCCCAAAGCTCGAAAATGCTCTTTTATTTGTGTGCCAACCTCCTCTACCAAATCCTAGCTTTAGTTTGATTTTAATTATGTTCTAGATATAAAGGCTGACATGTTTCAAAAAAAAAAAAAGATATAAGGCTGACATAATACATAATTTTGGTGAGAATAATTTATGTATAGAACAAAGAAGAGAGAGCAAGCCATTGACATTCCATGTGATTAACAAATTGACCAAGTGGAGAACAACAACCTGTACTCACTGATGAAGGGAAAAATAAAATAAAATTTTCCTCCCAACCATGTTAAATAAAAAGAGCTAAATGTGAAGCACCATAGTGGGAGACATTCGGAGTACACGAAGCAAATCGTTCCCATTTTCCTCACAGGTAGAATCTTTCATTTTCTCACAAGTGAAAGAGTTCCATTACATTTATTTTTGCAAATTAAAATGACTGTTTTAATTCCAATAAGGAAAGCAGTGCATGATCAAAATAACTTTACATACCCGGTTCAGGTCTATATGGAGTATCAATAGCTTGAAATCCTAAGGGCAAAAATGCTAAATTCAAGTAATATTGAAAGAACATCAATAAAAAAAAATCTCACATCCTTTAAGGGTCTTAGAGGTCCTGGGTTCTAATCATCCTTCCTCCTCCTAATTTCTTAAATTTCACTTCTTTCTTATTAATTTTTTTTAATTCAAGTGATATTGAAAGTGTATTGATAATTTGGGTACTCATATTACACCATGAGATTCATTGTATTTTTCATCCAATGCGTAGGGATATGGGGAGCTTAGTAGAAAAATTAACTACATTTGTGAAAGTTGTATAATTGCCTTTGGATTAATTTTTCCTACACTGACATTGACAGTATATACACTATCAGCATTAGATGAATAACAACTAGACAAAATTTGAATTTGAAATTCAACTTTTGCACACATATCATGAATTAAACGGTGATAATGTATACACTATCAGTGTATATGATAGTTTGCGATTTTATCATTTATTTTATTATTAATTTCTCCTATTACCTGACCCAATCTGGATTAATTGTGGGATTCTACTCACCTTTAGTATTTTACATATATTTCAGGGAGTAGAACGAAAATATAATAACAGGTACTAATTTGGCAGAAAAAGAGTCCAGATGATAGAGCTTGTCCTAGGGGCATTTTTGGAACAACAAAACATGAGCCCTTGTTGGGCAAATTGGGCCGAAGTCTTCATTTTTCCGCACAGGAGCCGTCGCAAGGGGCACTACTTTATAAAGGAAAATTGCGCAGGAAAAAAGAGAGCTTCTTCTTCCTCTCCGGAAGGGGAGCCGCCGCACAACAGAAAGAGCTTTTGGTCTCTAGTTTTTCTTAGCCGCAATTGTTGACTTTTCCCTTGGATTTATTCTCTTTGGCTTAAGAAACATACGAATGTCAGTAGCTTAGCCATCCTTGGCTTTGACTTTTTCCTTCTTTAGTTACTTTTAGTAGTTTTTCTTTTCCTTTGTGCGTGGAACGGAGTGGAAGCCGTGAATGGCCTTTTGTAGCTTTTCTATGTATTCAGTATTCGGACGAATTGGACTTTCCAAATTTAGCCGGACGATGGCCACGATTTCCTTTGCAATTTTGTATGGGGTTTTCCCATCAACAATGAGCTAAAGCCATTTTCTCTGGTCAAGGAGCAACGAAGGTTTTGGTTCGCCTAAAAATTGTGAGATTGTTTTAATTTAATCTTTTCCTTTTATTTATTGGTATCCGCATATTTCTTGGTTGCTATGCTTATGGTTATTTAATTAATTGATTGTCTTGGATCCAGATAATTAGTTGATTGGATAATCTATTGTCAATTAGGGCATTAAATCCGTAATTGTTTAATTGCTCTAAAATAGTGGCAACTGGCATGATTAGGTTTGTGTCAGGGGAATACGCGGGCTAATCTAAAATAACCCTGGTAGTGCGTTATTTGATTAGAATAGGGCTCCTCTAATACGTAAGACAATTGGGGAATTAAATTCTATGGGCGTACCTAGGATTATTTCTCAATTAGAGCAGTGATTAACGGGCGTACCTTAATCATTGACACAGTAAGGAGGGGTTGACTGTCATCGCTTGTTTGGCAGTTATAACCTATTTATTAGTAAATAATTGGAATTGCCTTTGCTTATCGATGATCAATTAGGTGAACCATTGCTGAAATTATTTCTTGGCTAGATCCTTAATTATCACTCATTTGATTTTAGTAGATTGTTATTTAATTTTTAGTAGCTTCTTAGATTTTCTTTGTTTGCCATCTTCTGCATAAAAACACCCCCTTGTCACTGTGAACTTGAGAAGAAATAAGTACTCCCAGTCCCTGTGGATTCGACCCTGCTTACTGCTATCTACAGAAATCACTTTTAGTTTGAGCAGGTTTTATTATTGCACAGGCTTCGACAACCTGTCAATTTTTGGCGCCGTTGCCGGGGACTGGTGTCAGATTAGTTTGTTTCTTTTTGAGTTCACCTTGTTTTCATTTTTAATTTATTTTTTTTTTCTTTTTTTTTCTCTTATTTTTTTTATGGCTTCTAACACTTCGTATTTTGGTGAAATACTGGATTTTCTTTCCGGAAAATGCGATGTGACTAGTTTTATTGCTGAGTCTGCATATGCAGAGGCAGTAAATTCTATTAGAAAAAGAATGGCTGCTGCAACCTGTAAAATTTGTTATGCCAGGGATCATTCAACAGGTATGTGCCCCGAATATCAAGATAATCAGAGTGTCCCATTCAATAATTACGGAGATTTTTCACCCTGGTCTCAAACGTGGTATGACCCTAATCCATATGGGTATGATCAAGGAGGGTGGGATAACTCCAATTATAATTATCCAACGGGGCCAATGAATTTTCAGCAGTATGAGTCTCAAGAATCGGCATCTATGTCAGGTATGTCTCTTGAAGAAATAATTGAACCAATAGCTACTAACACATATCAATTCCAACAGGAGACACTAATGGAGAATGAGATGATGAAGGATCCAATGAGTTATCTGGCAGATCAACTATGTCTATTGACATCCAGAATGAATCGATTGGCTTCTCAAATGGAAGAATTGCCCTCGGAAACCATTGTTGATCTAGAAGAAAATGAGAGTGCAATTTGCTTGACTAGTGATGAGGAGATGCAAGAGTGTCAAAATGAGAAATCTACAGATGCAGTTGAAAAAGAAGCCAAAAAGGAAGAAATGGAACCCCAACCGCAACTCATTCACGTGAAAGAATCCAGTGAACAATCTCCAAATGCGGTGACATCTCCTCCACTCCTTCATCAATATTCTCCTGACTCTTACTCTTCAACTCCTGTTACTGAAATTGATTTTATTATACCAGAAAATTTAATATTTCATGACAGGAATAAGTTAAGAGTGGAGATGGCAAAATATCTTGAACCAATGAATGCGTGTGATGGAGGAGTGAGTGGAGAATGCAGATCATTGTTGACTTGTTTAGCGCCATTTATTAGTCCATGGAAGCCCGTAACTCGTGTGCCCAAGAATTACTCCATCTACGAGGGTTATCAGGACTATATAGAGGATGAAGCATT